GAAAGGGAGACTGACAACTTTGCAGGAAAGCAGGACGTTTAAGCAGTAAAGGAGAGAATGGATGTACAAAAATCAAACAAATCAATACGATTTAATACACGTTTGTGTCTTAAAGCAGTAGCTTATCTGAAGGGTCTGTGTAATTTTAAAGGATAGAAAGACAAAGGCAGAGGAACTAGGTAATAAGAGACTATCTTATTCAAAAACGGCTTTTAAAAAAAGTATTGAAGGACTCTCCCTCCCTTTAAATGGAGATAAATGTCGATGGTGACTGCTGCTGAGACACTGCATGCCTTGCTGACTTTTCCTTTGAGAGATTTAAGGGAACATAAAGGGAGTTGATATGCTGGTGGCTACTGAGTCTTTTGGTCTATGAAACACATACTCAGACATGGTCACAGTTTCAATATTTAATCATTCATAAAATCATTTGCTGAAAGCCGGTATAGCTTGAGCCAACAGCAGCTAGAGTTAATATATTCCAGAACTGCAGCGGCTCCAGCTGCTCCAGATGTTTGAGGACCTTTGTGAGGTTCATTCCCTGTCGGCTGTGGCAGCCTTGCCACGCTGCTGAGGATGCATGTGTGGCTTAACTTCTGTGTCATCGAGCAATAACACAAACTCAATCCCACAAGTACAGGTAATTTCCAGTAATCATTAGTTCTATGTTTCCATGGTTACTAGAAAGAGAAAAATTTCTATTTTTGCTTCATGAAACTATACAAAAATTGAACGTTTTCCAAAATCTGTGCAAGGTTAAAATTAAATTGTGAGCAGACAATATAGCCGTTTTCCCTTCATGTGTGCCATCTCTTTACTCTCTTTCCACCCTTTCCATGACTTCTGACCTGCACAAATCCCACCAGCTCCACAGCAAAGCTACTCCTCAGAAATAATCCCGAAGAGGGCAGAGAACAAACTCTTTCCTACGGGGTCCTGGAGAGACTTCAGGCATCATTCATTCAAAAAGAAAAAAAGAAAGAAGAATATTGATTCCAAGGTCTAAAGAGTTTGTTATTTATATAAACGCAGCTAGAGCAGATGCGGCAGAAGTCGACAGTAACCTTCTGCTCCACTTTCACAGCAAGTCTGCCTACGAGGGCCAAAATAATTATTTGTTGAACCTATCAACTATGGGTAGGCTTAGTGTGCAGTATTTAATGAAACCTCCATGGAAATGTGTGTTGTTGCCCCTAAAAGAGCGTTTTGGGTTTTTTTTCAGTTTTCAAGCCCAGGCGATACCTATATCACATAAGGGAGTGCAGTGATGGGCCCTTAGTTAGCAACCAGTCTGTGCTAACAGGTTCATGAAATTCATCTAGGGCTATCCAAAGGTACAAGCTCAGGTCCACGTGAGCTATACAACTATTTTAGGTCACTGCACCTGAACAGTTAGCCCTGTTGCTCTAGAGTGTTACACAGTGTAATACTGGTCTGACTAGACTTCAAAGGCATCTAGTTCATTTGGGTGTATTTTAGTGCCTTGCAAAAGACACATGAAGGAATAAACATGGATAGCCCAAATGTCCCTCCTGGTGTTTTGATGGCTCCAACTTTACATCACAAAAACATCCACCATCTCTTTGGAGAGGTGAAACAGGCAGTTGACGAGACCTTTCCTAGAGACCTCTCTGCTCCATCTTCTGTGGTCTGCTGGAAAAACATACTTTACTCAATCTACCCACTCATCATACTGCTCTTGTTACTATTTATTCCACGGTAGCATGTAAGTGCCTTAGACAAGTAAGACTATAAAGATTGGAAAGGAACTGCCTGAAGAATTTGCAATACAAAAGATGTGCAAAAGGTAGAAAGGAAAATTAAAATGCTAAGACATGAAATCACTTGCCCGAGTTCACAGAAGTCAAGTATCCCACTGCTTGTCTATTTTATTAGGATTTTGGCCTTTCTAGTTTGTTGCTGTCAAAGGTTTTATTTGCTTCATGAGATTCACATACACACATAGACACATGAAACATCGCAGGAACAGGATTAGGCGTATTTCACCCTGGCATATATTCCATCTGGAGAAATGAATTTTTTTAAATCAGAAGACGATTTTGCTAGCATCAGACACCCGTTGTCTGCTGTCATAAAAATGCCTGCAGGGTGACCGTAATGAGAAGTGGAAATACCTCACTTCTTCCTTAACTGCCTTCCTGAGTTTGCTGATCTCAGTCTAGGTTCAGACATTGTGCGTCTGGAAAACAGACCTCAACTGTGCTTCAAATCACAGCAAGTAACATGCAAAGAAGTTACAAAGCTGCTCTTTTATCCCTCCAAATATTGACATCCTATTGTTTCTTTGCAAATGTTATTTTGCAAAAAGGAAGTAGTTAAATTCCTTTTCATAGTAAATGCAAGGACTGCCAGTGTTTGTGTGATGGCAACTTCAGAATTTATACTGGGTTGTGTTTTTCCTTCAGCTTTGTCAAGTGTCACTGAGAAGCAATGCTGGAAGTTCAAAAGACAAGCAGTGAAAAATATTATTCTGACATGTTCCTGTCACGTACACTGTGAGTGCATTAATTTTTGCTTGAATGATGAAACAGGGAGACCTGTAAAACAACAATCTATTTGTAATGGGATTCTGCACGTAGCGTCCTGATATACAGTCTTGTCTGAGATGTGAAAGGGCCCTGCCAGTGTCAGTGTGATAAATGTTATTTTTAGGGACAAGATGAGGGGAAACATTAGCCCGGTGAGAGCGTGTGTGAGCAGCAGAACGTGACAAGCGCTGTGCTATGCCTCAGCCCGCGCACAGCCAGGCTGAGGTGTTTTGCCAATCAAGGTCAATCTGCGCACACACACAGGGAATGGTGAAAGGCAGGTGGTGAGAGAAACGCTGCCCTCCCTCGATGTGTTGTGCCGCACGGCGCCGGCCACATGCCTGGGCAGGTATGCAGATAGCTGTGGACATGCAAAACCCTGGGCTGGGGCTGCCTGGCAATCTGCTGCCGAAAGCATATGTAAGTCACCGCTAACAGACCTGCTGCTGCTGTAAATTAAAGTTGGTCAGTGTAATCTCATTTCTAAGCAGTCTTCAGAGTTGGGAGGAGAAAGCTGGGGCTCTCTGTGAGCAGGGGGGCCTGGCCACTGAGCAGCGAGACATCTCTCCCAACAGCAAGCGCCTGGCACCAAGAGAGGTGGCGTCACGCCACGCCTCGGCCCCAGTCTGGTGATGGGGCAGGGAGGTGGAGTGGGGCTGCACCCTGCGTCTTCTATCCCATTACTTTCTGGGGCACAGACAGAAAAGTTTCTTTTGCCCATGCATTTCATCTGTGAAACCTCTGTCTCCTGCTGGTGTCAGCGTACATCAGTGTGGGCGAGACCCAGCAACCCCCGGTATGGGGCTCTCAGTGCAGCGGGAGCGGGATGCCAACATGGCTCCTTTGTTCCCAGCCTGGCTGGCAATGGCTATTTTGGTCTGGAGACCAGGAAAGGATTTTTGGACATGCCAAAGATGGCATGCCAGAAGGCAACGGTGCAAAAGCACAGGGGGTGGGCTGGAGGGGGAGGGTGCTGAGATGCACACAGATGTTTGGTGGGGCCGAGCCACAGGGGTGAATGATGGTTTCTTGGTCCTATAAGGGCTGCTGGGTACAGAAACAGATGTTGGGAGGGGGGCCCAGGGACACCCACTGCTCTTCAGCTTACCTTCCCCACTCCTCACCACCCTTCCCGTGAAACAAAATGTGGAGACGCAGGGGTGCGGGATGGGAGGTGCTGCTTGTGTGCGGTGGTTAGTTGAGGCCACAGCTGTGCGGGTAGGTGAGTCCTACCAGATGACTGCTGTAAGAGCCCTGCTGTGGGATTGAGGTTGTGCCAAGGGGCGATGGAGGCCAGCTGCCCTGCACGTGCTCCCCAGAGAGCCTGGGGACACGGCGGGAGCCCGCAGGGGGCACGGGCAGGGCAGCCCTCCCTGGGTGGCACCCACTGGGGCAAACCACAGCAACCACCTGCCACAGGGCAAAGCTGCTCAGCTCTCATGGCTTAAATCTTATCAGGATCAGAGTGATTTATTCAACAGGACCTAACTAACCAGCAGTCAGTGGACTTTACATTCAGGTTCAATATCAGCAATACAGCAGATAAACCACAGTACTAGACACTTAGCAAATGTTCATAAACACCAATAAAACCCTAAACAACCTTCTAACCCCAAAACCTTCTGGTCACCCACACTGACACATACACACGCGTGTGGTTGCAGCATGGGCTACACGTATGTCACGTCCCCGGGACCAGCCGCTTCTCTGGCCTGCCCTGGTCCCTCTGCTTGGCAGGATGAGCGCCTGCTGTCTCAGCCTCCCCCCCAGCACCACACGACCCACCAGCTCGCTGAGGGTGTGCTCTGCATGGACCTGACCCATGGTTTCACCTGCGGGTGACAGTGGAGCAGAGCTGGTGGTCGATCTTTGCCTCTCATTGCAGGGGCGATGCTGGGTAACGGTTGCTTTCTCAGCCTGCTGCCCTCCCTCTGCCTCAGCAGCCACAGATCTTGCATGTCCCTTAGCTGCCTGGCTGCCCTCCTCGCCCCAGAGGCCTCCCAGGCCCTCCCAGTCACCCACCCTGCCATGCTGAGAGCAGCTCCCGCAGGTCCCCTTGCGGCAAGCAGTCTGCCTTCTTCCAGGCATCTGGCCCATCTCACAGCTGGCTTTCAAACAGCTTGTTCTGCACTCCCACCAGGGTCTGCATGTTTGCCTCATACTTTTAGATAAGGCTGGGGTGGACTGTTTTCCCATGGACAGGAGCATGGCCATCCTGTGGGCCTACAAAGTGTCCCCTCTTTGCCCAGGCCACTGCAGAGTCTCCTGCTCTTCCTTATCCAGTTATCAGGAGTCAGTTTAACAGAATTACGGGCTCCCTATGTGTGTTCCTGACCTTGGGCTTTGGCTAGCTTTACTCTTGTTTTGGGAATCACTGGTGCATCTCTCCAAAAGCAGGCTCCTCCTATGAAAGCATACAGCTAGTGCGTGTGGATTTTGCAGAAAAAACTTTTATTCCATTGATCTGCTGGCAATTGCTCCTGGGTAAATCTCAGAAATGTCTCTGTGAAGGCTCACCCCCTTTGAGACGTCGCCTTCATTTTCACACAGAGCCATGGTGCTCTGCTGCATAGAGGAATGCTCCAGTGTGGCTGCTATGATGATGGGCACCCTGCCCACAATGATGGATGTGGTACAAGGAAGGCCAGAGGTGCCTACCAGCTCGTACCTGAATGCCATGATTTTATTTTCCATGAGAGTGCTTGTGACAGACATGGGTTTTGGCAGAACCAGCACACTGGTAACTCTCATGGCCCCAAATGGAGCCGTGTTTATCCGGGATTCCAACCTCATCACTTCGCCTCGGTCTTCCAAGGAGCGTTGTTCTCCCCTGCTGCTGAAGCCACTATACAGGACAATGCAGTGTACAGCAAAAGTGACCTTTCTAACATACTTGCATGTCCTGTTGGCAATATCTGTCATAAAGACAATGGTGTCACCGGGGCAAAATATGTTTTTCTCCAGGGAAATCCGAAGGATCACAGAGCCATGACTGAAGCAGCAGAAATAAATACTCCCTTCCTAGCTTCCACCACCAGTGGGGCCTGCATGGAGAGGATGAGTGGAAAGGCAAAGTATGGTGAGTTCTTGTTGCTGGATACAGGGTGATTCCCAAACACCACATGCATAAACTCCCAACAGAACAGCTGAGGCTGCTCAAGTCTCCCCGCAAGCCCCACCATTAACCCAGAGGACAGTCTTCCTCACTGCACCAAATGTGACATGGCTGAATTATCACAATCTTCCTGAGCATCTGTGCAAAGAATTGATGTGTGCACATGTGAACATTGTCACCTTTAGCTATCCATACACAAATTTAGACAGAGACCACAAAATTATTAAAATCATCATGTTATAGCTGTCTCTATGACCTTTGACTGACTTTCCCAGTCTAGGTAGAGTTTGGTAAAAAAGGCACCTCTTATTTGGTGATGTTTACCCAAGGCTTAGACTCCAAAGCAAGAGAATAACCTCCCTTTTCCCTCATCCTGGATCTCAAAGCGCTCCCTACAGGTCACTCTTGAAATCTTACAATGTACCTTGTATGCTAGAAAACAAACATGTTGGTGCAAGTCCTAGGACAAAGATGGCAGAAGATATTGAAGTGCCATTTGAATGCTAAAAGGAGGAAGCTCAGAGCTAAAAGTTCATGGACACTCAGTAAGTTACAGCTCTGGATCAGAACAGCGTAGGTCTGTGTGTCTCCAACTCAGATAGCTTGTACCCCTTAACGTGTCTTTCACATGTCTTCTGTGGTCACCAGCAGTTCCTTGCAACAGTAAACATCTCTCCTCATTAGCTAAGACAATTTGGCAGCTGCAGCAAGTCCCTTGAACAAAGTAGGAGGTGCAGCCCATTGTGCTGGTGAATGTGGAGGGAATACTTGGAAGAAAGCTGAAGTGAAAGTCAAAGGTGTGAATACCAGAATCCAGCCAGTCATCTGAAAGCCAAACAACATGCTGCTATCAGAAGCCTTTTAAACATTTAGGGTGTTTGTACCTTGTGGAAACCTTGATGTTTCTCCCAGAATCCAAAGTCTTCTTACCATCTGGTATTGCACCCAAAGTGCCATAAAGGCATGGTATGGGGTAGACTGTATGTCACTTCTACAGGTCAGCTGCTGGATGCATGGACCCCTACCAGTCGGCAGACTAGAAAATTGTTAATATCTGCCTCATTTTAACACAAGGTCAGCAAACCTGCAGCTCCTCACAAACTGTTTAGGATTTTCACTTGCCAAAATGGAGTGCCACAGACTTTTAACTTTCCAAATAAGCACCAATAGGCCTTTTGGGAATAAAACGGTGTGATAACTCTCATTCCTCTTTTATCATTGTCTACAATGCCTGTGCATATGATCTGAAACTTTTGTTTCACCTGTGCAAAAGACCCCCACTCACAAAAAAAATAGTATTTGACACCTTCCCCACACAACTGTGGGACAGGAAAATTATGATCCATTCCTTCAAGTGTCTTTGCTTCTGTGCCACTTCCTCTTAATCAAATTCAGTTTTATGTGGGTGAGGTCCCACTGCCTGTAATGAAAGACTACCCCACCTATGCAAGGGTAAGTTTGGCCTCTTCTAGACAGGTAAGACCAGCTCTTGACTCTTTTCTTCATCTAAGACCTGTTTCTTTTAAACACATTTATCTGCTGGCTGTTTATCATCCAGACTTAAGCTTTCCTTCCTTCTACTAGCTTGTGCCAAAACTTCACTTTGAACAACAGTATTAGGGGAAGTGAGACTGCTAGAATTTTGTCCTGCTGACTGCATCCTTTTGCAGATGAATTCAACGACGCCTCGAGTTTTAATAATCTAAACTGGATATTCTTGTTGGCAGAAGAGCCTGGATATTGTTTCCTCACAGCACGGGAGATTTACCAGATGGCATAACAGCATATTCAATCAATATCAGAGTTGTTACTCTGAAGAAAAAAAATGCCTAAAACAATCTGAAAGGGAGGAAACTAAAATTCATCAGCCTCTTAGATAACTGCAATATAAGAAAGTCATGTTCTCTATTCTGACAGTTCGTAGAAACCTGATATTCCCGGGGCCCTATCTCACACAACGTTGCCTTTAAGTTATTTTGGCAATGTTCTTGTTTGGTAGAAGGAAGGACTTCGAACTGTAAGCAGACCTACAATTTAACCTTGAAAGAACTCAGTGTTCCCCTTCTGGAATGGTCTGGTTGGGCCCTGGTGTGTGTGGTCTGTTTTGCAGCCCCAGCACAGTTTGGGGATTTACTGGAAGAGTTCAAATTTCTCAATCCCTGCTGCAGGTATGGCCTGAGACCCTGGCTTTGTGTGCAGGGCTGAAGTAGGCCCTGTGGTGCAAAAAGGCTTGCAGATGCTTATTCCATTCTATATACAGCTTTAATCCCACTTTCTTTGCCTTGTCTTGCAACACTTCTACAAAGACTTCTTTGAATTGTGCCTGCTTGCTAAGCTGTGCTTAACTTTCCACAGAGGCCCTTGGACTCAAAAGGATGGTGGCCTTAAACAATGCCTCTAAATTCACCCTGGAAGTGTAGGTGCACTTGCTTTGCTGGCTCCCCATGGCTGCTGGATGTAAGCCGCGTTGCACAGGACCACCTGCCCTCTACGTGGGCTCCAGAAACCTTGTTCCCCTGAAACCATGGCACAGAATTAATTACACTGTAGAAAGTTTCCCAGCAGCTGCAGAGGTGGGAGAGTGCTCCCAAGAGTTAGCTCCGCAGAGACACCTGGGGATACCGTGCATTTTGGTGTTCAGCAGAACCTGGGAACTTCAGTCACATCAGAAAATTTAAGTCAACTCCAGATAATTTATTGTGTTACCTAATTCAAAAAGTGCTTCATCTTGTATTTCCCAGCCAGGGGGATGACTGCAGCTATGGGGAAAGTTCAAAGAGGCTGCTGGTAAGATTGACTTGAGGGGTGACTTTTCTATGAAGGACATGAGGGATTTCCTGGGGTGTGACTGACGGTGCACAGCAGTGCTTGAAGAGTTTCAAACTGCCTGTAGTGTTGTGAGGTCTTGCCTCTGGTTCGCTCTGACTGGGGTATTTCTGCTGGTGATGAGGATGGTCATCCCTGGTAGCACTGAAACTCTTCTTTTTCTTTTCTGGATCTAATTATCCTAGAGCTGTAACCAGTCATATTCGATGACTGCCAGGATTCAGTTCCTCCAGCAGTCTTTATCTCACAGAGCGACAATACTGAGTTTCTTGTGCAGTGGCAGGCCTTACCAGCAGTAAAAAGAAATATGTCAGCAGACACCTGGATCCATGTATATATGCTTCTTACAGAGACATCAGATGTGACCCAAGTAGGACATGTGGTAAGATCAAATACCCACTAGTAACATGCTATCAAGAGCATATTAGCAGCTGAGCGCCAAAAGCTGACGCAGGCAGCAATCTGTTCAAACGAACGTTCCTTGTATGCCAACGTCAGTGGGGGGCGCAGAGTATTCAGGGTAAGAAGGGTCAGGTCCATATCTTCTTTCGTGTTTTGAAATGGCTTTCTTGGACTTGTTAGATCACTTCTACAGAGATGTAATCAATGCTGGAAAAGGAAGAAAGACTGAGTTACAGTAGTAAAAATCTGTTATTAAACTGCAGTGCATTGGCAAGTCTTGATGGATGTGGATGCTCAATTCTTTTGGAAACAGGAATATATGTGTAGGTGGCAGTATATGGATTCAAGTGTGTCTTAAGCAACACCAAACTGAACTTTAGCTGAGAAGATCCAGAACTGAGGTGCTTTACAGGTACTTGTTCTCATAATGGCAAAAATAATTTTTCCAATACTCAGCCTTTCTCTTTTCTGTCAGGGCTGTAACATCTGGTAGCCTACAGGAAGAGTCAGCATACTGCAGTACATCAAGGCCAAGACTCTAATGCCTGTGAAAGGGGAAAATGACCTTTGGACAAGCTAGAGCCTTCAAGTCTGAGAGGAAATGAAGCCTGACTACTGCAGGTCATAGCTTAAAGGCACATTTCCACGCATTGGCACAGTCTAACTTCAGTACTAAACTCATCAAGGGCAGCGACCACCTATGATCTGTAGACTTAATTCCCAACAGACCCTAAGAAAGATTAGCTGAGAATGGGGAGTGCACCTCCTAGGAGACTTCCATTTGCTTTAAGCATCCCCTGGAATAATTCACAGTTTTAGGTGGTCATTACATCCCACTGACTTTACTCTTTTTAATAAATCTGTACATTTTAATAGTTAGCTCTGCATTTATGTGTGTGCATGTTGGGGTGTGTAATATCTGAAGGGAAGGTGCAAAGATGATGGAGCGACAGGACAAGAGGCGACAGGCACAAACTGAAACACAGAGGTTCCCCCTGAACATCAAGAAACATTTTTTCACTGTGAAACAGGTTGCCCTGAGAGGTTGTGGAGTCTCCTTCCTTTGAGAAATTGAAAAGCCTGGGCAACTGGCTCTAGGTGGCCCTGCTTGAACAGGGGGGTTGGACCAGATGACCTCCAAAGGTCCCTTCCAACCTCAACCATTCTGTGATTCTGTGATTCAGTGAAATAATCACACTTTTCAGGTGTTTTCAGTGTATGTCTCACATTTTTCTTGTCTCTCAGTAAAAAAACTCTAATAATGCCTTTGCTATAGTTGCAAATATGACAAAGCCTGTACACACAGTGGATACTTGCTGGCATGTAAGTCAGTAAGAACACTGAAAGTAAGCATTTTAGATGACCAAAGAATGCTTGTGACTAAAGATTTCCTACCTGCTGCTAGACAGGTTGTGAAAAATTTGTGTTCAACAAATGTTCCCTTCACATTTACAACCACCAACTCATGGGGACTGCTCACACTCTCAAATACTGCTGATCGTACCAGAATACTAGTGTTCATCGCGAAGCCCTGGTTGCCATATGATGTAGTGAAAAGGAGTATGCCATGGGATAGAAACAGAGCACATTGACATTGGCAAAAGGAAAACTTCCTGCCCAGATCCCACCTTTCTAGCCCAACGCTAAGATGCTGTTCAGTTAACCGGTGCCTCGTTCTGGTGTTTTACCCTCTATGTGGAAATTCTTTGCTTTGGAGACATAGGCAGCCTGGTTGGTGCAAGCTGTGCTCTTGTCATAGTCCAGTTCAGGATTACCGTCGTCAAGCCACCTCAGGTAGCCTCTTCCCACGAGCTCCACCTTCACCACAGGGTCCACCAGGGTACTCCTGAGGTTCAGAACCAATTGGCCATGTATGCTGGAACCGTCCAAATGCACCTCAATCTCAGGCAGCACCAGATTAATTGCTCTTACTGTCAACATGAGGGAAGAGTGGCAGCTGGCTGCTGCTGGGGTCTGGAGGTTGGATTGTGAGGACATTTTCTCCAACCCCACCCCATGACACAGGCGTTTGTGAGGTCATGGCATGGGGGACAGGTGCAGGGTGCCCCACAAGGAGAGACCTCAGCTCTCCAAGCTATGCCAGAGGGGATCGGAGCCATTTATCTGATTATTAGCAGCACCTAACTAACTGGCAAGCATTCAACTACACGTTTAGGGTTGGTATTGGCAATACAGTAGATAAACCACAATTCAAGACACTTAGTAAATGTTGATAAACACCCAGAAATTTCTAAGCGCGCTTTCCATGAGTAATCCCCAAAACTTCTAAGCATGCGTGCACACACACATGCACGGTTATGTGCACCCCTCTCCTCTGGGGTGCTGGTTCCCCAACTCATGCATTCTTTTTGGGGAGACGTGGGCGCTTTACATGCACCTTACCCACTAATCCATCCACTGGTGAGAACACACTCCACAAGGCCCCCACACCCATCAGCATCAGCGTGCTGGCGGCACGCAGGCTGCTCGCACCATTCGGCAGCAGCGGGCTGCTGCTGGCAGCCCTGGCTTTGGTGGCTGTCTTTTTCCTCGTCCCACTCCCGGGTCTCGTCCCTGGTCACAACTTCTCACACTTCCTTGAGATTTCTTTCCAGGCTGACTCTTTCTACTCTCATAAATCGCCTGGTGATCCCCTATCTACTGTTTAATTCAGCTGATGGTTATCTCAATTAAACTTCACCATTCCTACTTTCCTCATGGCATTACCAGTTTTGGGCAACCACCTTTCCAGAATGCACAGTTTTGTGTATTGTGTTCACACCCGCTGTCCACACTCACCTCACTACCACTTTAGCCACTGTTATCTGGGCATGCTACCAAGAGGGAGCTGTGCAGACTTCCCCACTGCAAACTACTGGTGGTGGATAGTAGATGCGGCTGATATTGCCAGCTTGGGGAAGAGTAGCTGGAAAGCTGC